ATTCTTTTTAAATTTTTTTGTTAGAAAAATCACTGACATAATATATTTTAATTAAAATAAATTTTATCAAAAAAAAATTAAATGTAATTTTTTTTATAAATGTAAGTATTTTTTTTGTTATATTTGTTTAATTTTATAGATCTTGATACTTTTTGGTTCAAAAAATATTTAGGGACTTAATCGTTCAAAATATGAATGTTCATTGGGGTTTTTTTCGGACTTTTGTCACTATTTTACCACTTTAACTAGTTGTACAAGTCATAAAAATGTATCCAACAGGTTTTAGAGAAGTCCAAGGAGTTATTTAACATTTTTGGATTGTCCAATGACTTATTTGTTCCAAAAATTGTCCAATGAGTTATTTAACATGTTTTAAATTGTCCAAAGACTTATTTGTTCCAAAAAATTGTCCAAGGAGTTATTTAATATGTTTTTGGAATGTCCAAGGACTTATTTGTACCATTGGGTTTTTTTAGACTTTTCCCTAAAAGTTAAAATGTTGTCTATAATTAGAAATGGCAACACGGCGGGTTCGGATCAGTTATTGGCATCCCCGTCCTCAAAACCGATAACTAAAACCGTCTTCGTAACCGTCCCAATCCCTGTAGGGATCTTATCGGGGATCCCCATTGGGTCCCTACAGTTTCCCCGATCCCCGTTGGAGAACCTGTTAGGGGTAAAAATTCTCTTTTTCCTTTTCACCGTTGATTATAACCGAACCCTAAACCGAAACCCAAAATCGATCTAAAAAAAATACAATGTTAATTTTCACAACTAAAAGCAGATTATAATTTTTTGTAAGATGTAAGTTTAAATATCTCAAACATAATCGAACCAATTATAAACAATGTATTAGATTACAATATAAAACAAAACAAATCAGAAATTCAAACATCATACAATTAAAATCACGATTTCACGATTAGACAAATAAACTAGATTTTTTTCGTGAGCCTTATTTGGGTTGTTGAGGTAAAGTGGATAAAAGTTTTTTAAATTTTAATGATACCATAGTTATACTATATTATAAAGTATTTGATAAAAACTCTTAAAAACCATTTTTTTATGCATGAAGTAATATTTATTTATGCATATTACTTAAAATTCAAGATTACAAATAATTTTTGTACAACTTATTAAGCTCCATTTTTAAATTCGTGTAACTAACTGCAGATAAACATAATCAAATATAGAATATACATTCATTTTAGATATAGAAAACCTAAAATATAATTAAGATAATTATTGAGTTCTAACAGAATATTTAATTATTATCTTTATAAAAAAATATTATTAAACCAAAAATAAATTACTTTATTATTTAAATCTAAATTTAAATTATAATAAAAATTGAATTAAAGAAGTTATACCAAAAAAATGAAAACTATTAAATAGTTAATTTGATACCAATATCGCTTGTTTTTTTCAAATTTTTATGTTATCTTCAAATTTATATTTCATTCAAAAATAAAAACATTACCGCTTTCTCAAAACCACATAAAATCGTATTATATCGATAGTGATAAATAATAAAAACTAAACATTAAAATGAAGATTTATCTCGCTGCATTGTGCGAGTACCCTTCTACTATATTATAATGTATTTGACAAAAACTCTTACAAATCATTGTTTATGCATTAAGTGTTGTTTATTGATGCATATTATTTAAAATTGAAGATTACAAGTAAATTGCACGTATGTATAATTTATTAAAGATTCATGTTTGAATTCTTGTAACTAACTACAGATAAACATAATCAAATATTGGATAGGTATCTCACTTTAATGTAAAAAATCAAAAATATATATAAGATAATTATTGAATTATAACAAAATACTAATTATTATATTTATAAAAAATTCTATTATATAAACTAAAAATAAATAACTTCATGGGTAGAACAAATATTATAGAGAATCGAGAAATCAGTTTTTATTCTCGTTAATCATAAACCCTTTAAATAGGGATGAGTTACAAATAGATAATCATAACTCTAATATGTTTATCACTATATCTATATATCTCTATCTCTAAGCTTTATCTTTATCTTTATCATTATCATTATCGTCATATACTTTAGACGATGACACACTTATCCTTCAACACTCCCCCTTGTGTCAAGTCAAAGTAGTGATGGTACACTATTGTTGCCTCGTTAAAACCTTACGTCAAAATAAAAACCTAGTGAGAAAAAATGAAAATAGGAGGAAGGAAAGAGTACAATGCACCTATTTATAGACTATTCCTTTAGTCTAGTATTACCTCATATTGGTACATCAATCATATGAGTAAAGAAAACAAGGTGGTATTTAAACGGTTGTCTCACTAAAACCTTACACCAAAAAACAAAACTTATTGCGAAAAATAAAACTTTGGGTGAAGGAAATAGCACAACATACCAATATCATATGTATAGTAGATCCCCCATTTCGTCTACTACTCCCCGTGATACATATGTTAATCATGGGAGTTTAAAAAGCCTTCGCATTCCAATGCTTTCCACATGTTTCTCAAATGTGGCCTTAGGTAGTGATTTGGTAAGCAAACCAGCCACATTCTCTTCTGACCATACTTGATTCACTTGAATCTTAAGGAGAGTCTGTTGTTGCTAATTATAGAAAAACTTCGGCAAGATATGCTTTGTATTATCTGCATTGATATACCCCACTTTCATTTGTTCAATACAAGCTGCATTATCTTCATATATGCATGTGGGATTTTGAGTGGTTGAACTTAAACCACTAGCTCCTCTTATATGTGCAATGACATACCTTAGTTATATACACTCTCGAACCGCCTCATGTAGAGCAATAATCTTTGAATGGTTAGAGGAGGTAGCTACAAGGGTTTGCTTCATAGATTTCCAAGAAATCTTCGTGTTCCCAATTGTAAAAACATATCATGTTTGGGAACGACCTTTATGTGGGTTAGAGAGATACCCAGTGTCAACAAAACCTACTAATATATCATTTAGGGTTTCACTATAGGGGATAACGCTTTCTTCGTTAATATCTTTAACAGGTATTGTAACCCCATTTTTCTCTTTGTAGGGAAATAATAAGCCTATGTCGATGGTTCCTTTCAGGTATCGAAATATATTCTTGATACCATTCCAATGATGTTGCATTGGCGCCAAGCTAAATCTAGCTAATAAGCTCACTAAGAATGCAATATCTGGTCGAGTACAATAATGCGCCTATTGCACTTAGATAGGGAATTTCAGCTCCCAACACTTCTTCGTCATCATCCTTTGGACGAAATGGATCTTTCCTTATATCCAAGTTTCGACCGATCATAGGAGTGCTAGTCGGATGCAATTTATCCATATTAAATCGCCTGAGCATTTTCTGGATATAAGCGGACTAATAATGGATAAGGATTCCACAAGCTCGATGTTCTAGTTCTATACCTAGGCAAAGCCAAGTTTTCCCAAGATCTTTCATCTCAAATTAAGATTTTAAATGGGTTGCAGTATCTCTTATTTCATCAAGAGTACCTATTATGTTCATATCATCAACATATACAACTATGATTGAAAATCCAAAACTTGTCTTCTTTATAAAAACGCAAGGGCACAACTCTTCGTTCTTATATCCCTTCCCAATTAAGTATTCACTCAGACGGGTATACTACATCCGCCCGGATTGTTTTAATCCGTAGAGTGAGCGTCTAAGTTTAATTGAAAACCAAGTACGTGGTTTAGAGTTACTTGAATTGGGTAGTGGAAGGCCATTAGGCACTTTCATGTATATATCTGAATCAAGATCTCCATAGAGATATGCAGTAACCACATCCATAAGTTGTACTTCCAATCTTTCGGAAACTACTAGGCTAATTAGATAGCAAATGTTATTACGTCCATTACTAGGGAGTATGCTTCCTCATAGTCAATTCCATGGCGTTGTGAGAACCCTTGTGCCACAAGGCGAGCCTTATATCTTATGACTTCATTATTCTCATTACGCTTTCTAACAAAGACCCATTTATGTCTTACAGGCTTTACACTTGGTGGGGTTAGCACTAC